ACAGTTTACTTTTTTAAGTTTACTTTTATTTATTTATTTTTGGCTGCGTTGGGTCTTTGTTCCTGCACACAGGCTTTCTCTGGTTGCGGTGAGCAGGGGCTACTCTTTGTTGCGGTGCGTGGGCTTCTCGTTGTGGTGGCTTCTCTTGTTGCGGAGCACAGTCTCTAAGTGCATGGGCTTCAGTAGTTGCAGCACGTGGGCTCAGTCGTTGCGGCACGCAGGCACTAGAGCGCAGGCTCAGTAGTTGTGGTGCACGGGCTTAGTTGCTCTGCAGCATGTGGGCTCTTCCCAGACCAGGGCTTGAACCCGTGTCCCCTGCATTGGCAGGTGGATTCTTAACCACTGTGCCACCAGGGAAGTCCCCACAGTTTACTTCTTAAAGTCCAATTTTCTAAGAGTTTTAGCCAGGAAAAAGAAAAGATTAAAGTAATCAGGAATAGATTCCCCTCCCTTGCCCCCAAGATACTTCTGTGGGATTTCTGGGGCTCTAGGAGCCCAGCTGAGAGAGCCACTGGGCCATATGTTGTTGACGTACCCAGAAAAAAGCAAGGTGAGTCTGTTAAAACAAACAGCATGTAAGCAAGCAGCCACAACAAAACTGGGTAGACCCTGCTTACAATACTGTGGGGAATAAAGAGGTCAAAGTATGACAATACAAGTAGGAGATTAGTTTTCATGGAAGGCTGTGGATGTGTTCCTTTCTGGTCCCATGAGGCTGGGCTCTAGAGTGCACATGGGCTCAGCTGCCCCGTGGCATGTTGGATCTTAGTTCCCCAACCAGGGATCGAGTTTGTATCCCCTGCATTGGAAGGTAGATTCTTAACCACTGGACCACCGGGGAAGTCCCATCTACTTCTACTTATTAAAAAGACTCCTTTGGAGTCTTTAGACATAGATTTTTCTGTGTGTCACTTTTGTATATGCAATAAAGGATACAGGCACCATAAATTGATTGAAGTCTTTCTAACCTTCACTTTCAGAATCTGATTCTTCTGAATCACTTTTCAACTCCGCTCCTCAGTATCCGTTTATGATGAGGCCGCATCACTCTCTGTGCTTTCTAGAGCGTTGGTGGTGCAGAGCTTTTGTCTCTGAGATTTTCATCCATGCTGCTGATGCCCATTCTGCCAGTTCTGATGTTGCCACTTTCTTCATCTTACTAGAAGGTGTCAGTAGAACGTGTTCTAGGCAACCTAGACTCAGATTCCTTCTTCAAGTGGGTCTTTTTTTAAAAAATCTTTTGGCTGTACCGCACGGCATGTGGGATCTTAGTTCCCTGACCAGGGATTAAACCCAAGCCCCCTGCATTGGAAAGGTGGAGTCTTAACCACTGGGCCACCAGGGAAGTCCCAGTTGGGTCTTAAATGGTTTGTTAACAGTGAACAGTCAGGAGTTTCCATTGTCTGGTCATGCCTTTGGGAATAACAACTAAGTGCGTTCATGTGTAGGCAGTGACAACAAAGACAAGGCAACAGCAATCGTAAGACCCTCCCCAGTTTTCAGAGGTGAAAAAATGTATGTCTTGTAATTGATGATAATTACCCACAAGAAGTCTAGGAGTAAATGGGCACCGTCGGTATTCCAGTGACTTCGTGATGTCAAGGCTCCGGGTGGATGTCTCTGCGAGTCTCCTTGTCACAAGGTGGCAGTTCCCACACTCAAAGGCAGAAGGCAGGGAACAGGGTCAGGCCTTTCTCCTTCTGCATGTGAGAGAGAGAAAATATCTTTCCCAGAAATCCCTTAGCAGATTTCCCCTTACCTCCCATTGGCCAGAACTACATCACATGGCCATGCATAATAGCTAGGAGGGAGTTTGGGACATCTGTTTTTTTTTCTCACCATTTCGAGAACGGAATTGGGCATGACTTCTGGATGGTCAACTAACAGTCTATCCCACTGTGGTCAGATACGTTTGGGATATGCTGAGTCAAACAACCCAAAACACTACGACTTCTCAAAGCTTTTCGTATGTGGCTCATTGAATTATGGAATATGTTTTTAAGCTTTTCCAAATTTAGGGAGTCCAAATTTATTTTCCCAAAAATAAGGAACCCAGTTTTGCAGAATACCAGAGAACCACTCTTGGGCTGTTCCCAGAATAAGAAAACGAAGGTTCTCAGAGCAGAGCTGAATCGGCCAGTGGAATAAGGTCTGTGGAAAGTGAATGGAGATGAGGTTTGGAGTAGAGACTGAGCAGGGCTGAGAGGTTTACAGCTGAGAGGGCTATATTGATTTGAACCGTCTCAGATTGTTTTGATGGGTACGGGCTAATTTGTTTTCAAGAGCCTGTATCCATGCTGCCGTGGTTTCTTCTGAGACAGGACTCAGTCGATACTGAGCTATTATTATCTCCTTTTCTTTCCTAACCTTTGCCACTTCCTGTCTTCATGATGCTAGTGATACTGGAGCAGGCCAGCTGGCTTCTGGGACTGGAATTGAGTGCTTTGCTGAAATGGTCGTGGACATGTGTGATACCTGCTGCCTCTTTTCCTCAGATACATTGCTGAGCCTTTGTAAGAGCTGGCAGACCCAGGAAAGGAGTTAGTCCGCCACCATTTATTTGGACTTAGAATCATGAAGCCCCTCCTAGTTTTTTTCCCAGAAGTGATCCTTTTTTTTTTTTTTTGGCTGCCCCCCGCAGCATGTGGGATCTTAGTTCCCCAACCAGGGATTGAACACGTGCCCCCTGTAGTGGAAGCACGGAATCTTAATCACTGGACCTCCAGGGAAGTTCCTAGATGTCATCTGGAACGTTTCTGAGTAGAATAATCATGGGTCATTGGCTGATGGATTTGGAGGGGATTATACTGGGGAGCGGGTCTCCCCCCTCATTTTCTTGCCAAAGACCACCCAGCTGTTATGTCTAGAAGGTGAAGCCTCAAACCCCTTGCCCACCATCATTCAGGAGCTGTATCTGAGGCAACCAGGGAGATTTCTGCCTTTCTCACATAATGCCCTCCAAACACCCCTTTGCCTGGATTTAGAATTCTAGTTGTATATATTTTTTATTTTATTTTATTTATTTTTAAATCTATTTTTATTTTTGGCTGCGTTGGGTCTTCGTTGCTGCACGTGGGCTTTCTCTAGCTGCGGCGAGTGGGGGCTACTCTTCGTTGCGGTGCGCGGGCTTCTCATTGCGGCGGCTTCTCTTGTTGCGCAGCACTGGCTGTAGGCGCACAGGCTTCAGTTGTTGCAGCACGCAAGCTCAGTAGTTGCGTCACGTGGGCTCTAGGGCGCACAGGCTTCCGTAGTTGTGGTGTGCGGGCTCAGTAGTTGTGGCACACAGGCTTAGTTGCTCCACGACATGTGGGATCTTCCCGGACCAGGGATCGAACCCGTGTCCCCGGCATTGGCAGATGGATTCTTAACCATGCGCCACCAGGGAAGTCCTGTATATATATTTGATTATTTAAATAGTTTTCTTTCTGCTGTTGTTAGTTTCCTGGAGACGTGGTTTTTTAAATATCTTTGGCAGGCTGAGAACTTATCATTTTCATATTTTAATGCATCTTTGTTTCATTCTGACATTTTTTTCTAAAACTGTCTGCAAGCTCCTTTGTCTTCCCCCGTTGCCTCTAATGAACTCATTCTGCGTTTGCTCCTTTAGCTAACTGACTCTTTTGCTAAAGTTACTTCAGTGAATTACTGTGCTTTGTTGGCTCATTTTCATTACTATTTAAGTAAAGTGAAAAAAAAAATCTCCAAACCCTTCTGCCATCTCTGAAAGCCTCTTAACTAATGCTGTCATGGCCCTTGTTGGTTTCATCAATCCCACCCCCCAGCCCAGAGCCCTTGTTAGCTGCTCTCGCTGATTTTGTGCTGATTTGCTGGTTCTGTTCTATCTGCGGTGCCTATGGTCCCCACGTCCTCTAGCCCTCTAGGACTACTCTTTCCTTCATTATTCAAATAAAATACCTCCGCCCCCGATCCATGCATCCCATGTACCTATGGGAAGTCTGCATGCCCGTGAGTGTTTCTGAAGATACCCAAGTTTATCAATTTGCCTAGTGGTTACTTGCCTGTCACCTCTTGCTCCGAATCCCAGCCCAGTTCTCAATAATCCACGTCTCCTTACCAGCCCCTCCGCCCTCGGGTTTCCTTCTCCCCGGAACACAACTCTCCCCCTCCAGCCCCTGAGGCACACCTCAAGCAATGCTATCATCCCTGTGCCTTCCTTGTAATCTTCTCACTTTGACAGATTCTCTCATCCAGGCAGCGAGGCCCTTCCCTTTCATAAGTATAATGGATTGATCTTGCTTTTCCTAAACAAAAGAACAGTTTCCCCCGAGACAGCGTCTGTGGCTTCTTGAGAATGAGAAATGGTTACGGTCAACAGTGTTTTGTCGCGTGTGTGTCTTTTTTTAACATCATCTTTTTCCTTCCTGATTCGTCACTTTGGGTATTTTATGGAGCTCAAAGGTGACAGTGGCAGTCAGTGCGACTCACGAACAGTCGTGTGAACAGATAAAAGAAATGGCTGTTGTCATACATGTAAAAAATACTGTCTGCATTTTATTTCCTTTGAAAAGAGTAAGGACTGAGCACATAGATTATTAAGTTCTGATATTCTAGCCAGATCCTTGTGTCCTGGGAACGGAGCAAAATGTAGCTCTATAAGGATTTTGATTTCTGTAAAGCCCGAGAAGCCGCAGACAAGCCCTGGAAAGTAGGAACCGAAGGCAGCAGTCGTTTCCTCGGCCCTGAGTCTGGCCGAGGCTCGGGCTTATTGTGGGGGGCGTCTGAAGGAGAGGAAGGAGCCTGGAGCCAGAAGAGCAATTCCTGAGCCCACAGGAGGCCCTAGAACATTCTGGGCCTGGATCCCCTCTGTCCCCTGCAAGTACACCAGGCAGCTGCCCCTCTGCAGAGTATTCCAGGGGACTGGCCTCCACCTGGCTGACCGTCAGAGCCCCCCTCTTGGCCTCGGTTGCGTTCGCCCGCCACAGCTGCCCCGGTCTGTGGGGCAGGCCTCTGACGTGTGCCCCGTCCTGTGTTGTGTCCAGGGACAGGGTGCCTTATCAGAGAGACTCCGGAGCTTCAGCATGCAGGATCTCTCCACCATCAGGGGAGACGGCGCCCCTGCTCCCTCCGGCCCCCCGCCGCCGGGGCCCGGGCGGGCCAGCGGCAAACACGGCCAGCCTAAGATGTCCAGGAGTGCTTCCGAGAGCGCTGGCAGCTCAGGTAGGTGTCACTTCCCTTCCCCTCTTTTCCACCTCGTAGGCCTTGCTTTCGTGAAGGGAGACCTAGGCCCCCCTAGGGCCCTTGCCCCAAGGACTCGCCACCCATACAGACGTCCATCAGACCGTGCCAGGCCAGCCAAGGGGCAGAGCACCACTTGGGCCAGGGCAGAGGGCTGGCCTTGGGGACTCTGATCAGGGGCAGGGTTAGGTCACCTGCACCAAAGGGCCCCATCTCCTCCATCTGATTATGTGGGGGGGGGGGGGGTGGGGGGGTTGAGTAGTAGTACCTGGACCAAGCCTAGAGGCGACAGGCCCAGCTGGACCTGGGCCAAGGCAGCTTTCTCTGTGTTCTTCTTCTCTGACCCCGCACTCCCAGGAGGGCTTACCTGTCGTGAGCACCTGAGTGTCTCCTCCCACCCAGCCAGGGCTTACAGCACGGTATCCCTTTTCCCTGCACGGTATTTCCTGTCCTGTCTCTCACTCTACCATCTCCTCCCCTCCCTGAGCCACCATGCCCCATGCATAACCTCGGCCACCACATGCAAACGCCACACTAGCTCTGAGGTCTAATTCCTGTGGAGGCCAGGGCTTTACGGAAACCACACCTCTACCTCGATGTCTACCCCTGGTAGAGGGGTACCTGGGCCAGGATTGGCCTGGAACTTCGTTTAAAAGTGCAGAGTCCTGGGCCCCCCCCACCGGGAGATTCAGTAGGTCTAGGGTGAGCCCCTGGTGTGTGATGCTGTCGAGGTTGCAGTGGGTTGGGACCCACTGACGTCTGATCCCTCAGTGGGTTTCGGGCTTGTGGAAGGTAGGGGCAGGGATTAGAGGGCTACGGAGTTGGACCAGGACTCGGTTTCCCAGACTGTTCCTTGGGAAGATTACGGGGCTTGGCTTTCGGGAGCTGAGCACTGCTGCTGCCAGCAGAAGGTTGATGGGGAAGGGGCTGCAGGGGATCGTTCTGGGTCATCACCTCCGCCCCTCCACCTTGCTGGGAAATTGAGCCTGGGGGCTGAAATTGGGCCACTATTGGAATCTCTGGCTGTGACATGTGCAGGTGGTTAGCCTGCCCTTAAATGTATAAACAGGGACCTCCAGGCCACCTAGACCTAGACTGTGTGCTGTGAGGTGCAGCCTACAGGGGCATCTCAGTCCTGCGCCTGGGGTCCTTCCAGGCCCCACCTGACTTGAGGGTCTAAGACATGGATGGGAAAGAGGGAGCCTCACCACTGCCCTGGGAATGACAACCGATGCTCCCCTCCAGGGAAAGGAGAACGGCTCAGGGCCCGGCCCAGCGTCTGCCACGTTCCAACCCTCTCAGGAATGGCCTCTCTACCCCCGGCCCCAGGATTGAAGAATGTGGCTTTTCTGTTGGAAGGGAGAGATTTTAACCCTAGCAGGGCTGGGGAGGTGCAGGCTTGGCCATGGGGGTGAGGTCTACCTCAGGTAGGGGAACCCTGTCCCTGTGCCAGGGGAGCTTAGCATGGAATCCCAAAAGGCCAGGCAGGAGGGGACCTTGGGGATCACTCAGTCTAATCCTCTGATTTTGCCAATGAAGAGACAAAGGCCCAGGGAAGGGAGCTGTCACCAGGGTTGCCCGCTGGTGGCATTCTCCTGTGGCCCCCTGACTCCTAGCCCAGGGCCTTCTCTCCACTCACCTGCTGGCCATCAGGTTTCCCTGAGCATCTACAGCTTCTGACCTCCTGGGCACCGTCGCAGAAATAGGGATGCGAAATGCAATTAGATATCGCCTCCACCCTCCGTCAGCTTCCCGGCTACGAAGCCTCAAATGAAAGCTGTCATTGGAAGAAAAAGGGCCCCAATTCTCTGAGGCTCAGTGGGCAGAGCTAGAACCAGTGGGGTCCAGTTCCAAGGGGGTAGCCACTTACCAGCTGTGTGGCCGGGGCAAGCTGTTTATCCTCTCTGCACTGCAGATTCTTTATCTAAACACAGGGAATGACAAGCCCCATTTGTAGGGTTGTCGTGAGGATTCAACCAAAATAATCCATGTAAAGGTGCTTAGGGTCATGCCTGGCACTCGAGGTCGTAGCTGCTGCCAGTTCTGTTCTTCTTGTTGATATCTAACTCACCTACGAAAGCACTTTGTAATGTGAAAGTATCCGGGACAGAAACGGGCTGCCTTGTGAGATAGTGAGATGCCTGACGTTGCAAGGGCCCAAACCAAAGTCAAATAGTCATATACCAAAGCTCTAGGGAGGGATTCCTGCTTTGGCTAGGAAGTGGGCCTAGGTGGCCCTACAGTCCCTTTCCCTCTTAGAGCCTATATTGTCATTATAGAGGTGAACGAAGCAGAGGAAGTAGGCTCAGAGAGGTCACACGCTGTGCCAAGGCCACACAGGACTGGAATCCAGGCCTCCTGCCTACACCTGCCCTTGGTGGAAGATTCGTGGCAGCTTCAGAACTAGGAAAGAGAGAGGTTTGGTAGGATCTAAAAGGTGATGGGTATTACTCAGCCATAAAAAGGAATGAAATTTTGCCATTTGTGACAACATGGATGGACCCGAGGGTATTATGCTTAGTGAAATAAGTCAGACAGAGAAAGACAAATACTGTATGTTTTCATTTATATGTGGAATCTACACAATGAAACAAACAAATGAATGTAACAAAACAGAAACAGACTCAGAGATACTGAGAACAGACCGGTGGTTGCCAGAGGGGAGAGTGGTGGCCGGAAGGCGTAAAATGGGTGGAGAGGATTAAGAGCTACAAACTACCAGATATCAAATAGATAGGCTGCAAGGATGCAATGCACAACACAGGAATATAGCCATTATTATTTATAGTATCTGTATACGGAGTACGATCTATAAAAATATTGAATTACTGCACCTGTACACCTGAAACTAATATAATATTGTAAGTCAACTATACTTCAATACGGGAAAAAAAAAAAAAAAGGCGATGGGAGGCATCCCCTGGGCTTTGAACATCTTCCCAGACAATCACTAGATGGAAGCGGATTTGGGCTGATTTGTTTGGTTCTGACCCTGCTGCCCTCCGTCCTCTGCTGTGCCCCGTGGGGCAGGGGCAGCGCTCTGGTTGCAGGTGTGCAGGCCAAGCGGGTGGAGTTTGCAGAGAACCAGAGAGCCTGCTGTGCTGCCACACGACCTGCTCTCCTCACGGCCTGCCCTTGGCCGTGGCGCCTGTGACTTCAGGGGGCCGGCAAGGGAGGTGCTGACCTAGCAGGGAGGGCAGGGACCATTGGCCCTCGCCCTGGCTGTTCTGGGCCTAAAATAAAAGTCATCTCAGAAAGGAAGACCAGTGAAAGATGGCCCAGGGTCTGGGCGTGGGGCAGAAGCACCCAGATCAGAGGCTCTGGGGCTGTCGTAACCCCAGAGTGGAGGGTGCGGGTGCCTGGGAGGGAGTCAGCCGAAGGAGGCCCAGCTTTGCGTACCCTCCCAGCACCCAGCCTCGGACGCCAGGCGTGGTCGGGTCGGGGAAACGGCCCCCGGTCTGGGCTTCCATCCTGGCTGAGTGACCCCGGGCCTGCGCAGAGACGGTAAATGCAACACAGCGAGGCAGACGTCAACAAGCAGTCACCACACTTGTTCCCTCTGGGCCTAGATTCAGCCTCAGAACCTTCCTCAGAATGATACCCCAGGCGGCTGCTATCAGAGGATTTGACCTTGGCACAGAAAACGAGCTCCGTTGCCTTCAGGTTTCCTCTGGAGAAGAGGCGCGAGAATCCCTATCCCTCCTACATCTTAGGCTTGTGAGGAGAGCAGTCACAAGGCACAGGGCTTATGTGCAAGCCCTGGCAGGTAGCACCTGTTGCGGGCAGGCTGGGAGAGGATGGGCAAGACGCGGTGGCTGCCCCCCCGCGGAGTTGTGTGCAGCGTTGGAAGCAACAGTTTCAAAGTACATATAGGTAGAGTTTGAAAACACGAGGCCTAGTGAAAAAAATACAAAACGGAACAAGATATCATATAACAATTTATGTAAAATAAAAATATAGGCCCATTGGTGTAAAATAACACTATGCAGTTTGCATCGCCCACCCTGCAGAATGGACTGGGAGGCGTTTTGTCAGATGCCATTTATTGAAAGTCTGGCACTGAACCCCAGGAAGGGTACAAGGGAGTTGAAAAAATGATCCTTGCTTTCCATGAACTTGGAGACAGCCTGTATTTAGTGAGCACCTACTGCATACCAAGGCCCAGATGTGCACCAAGACCAATGGACTGTGTAAGGTAGCAGCCAATTAGCTGTTTGAGCACTTTGAGGGTTCAGCGGTCAGTTTCCTGCAGGTCATTCTGAACTGGAAGACAGAGGAAGGGCATCTGGGCAGGCACAGTTGGAGTTATTTCTCAGAGGAAACTTTGACGTCACCCTCTGCCTTCCCTTGGGCTGCTGGACACAAGGACTGACCTCTGTGGGCCAGGCAAGGTCATCCTTGGGCTGCAGGACACAAGGACTGAGCTCTGTGGGCCAGGCAAGGTCCTTTTCTAGCACCCGAGAGGAAGCTGGATCTGGAATGATCCCCTCCGCCACCTCGGTGTCTCTACAGAGACCCACATTCCTGGGACCCCTGTATTGAACACACCGGGATCCCCACACCTCCCTGGGGCCTCCCGGTTTACCTGGGGGCTGGTTCCTGTCAACTGGGGGCTATCACTGATGGTGCCCCCATTCCCACAGTGTGTACCTGCTGCTTCACCTGCAGGACCTGGAAAGGTGAGTAGACAGCCAGCATCTCTGCAGCGTGCGGGACTCGCCTCGGGACGAGGCTCTAACCATGAGCTGGTGTCAGACCTGGGGGCTCCCTTTCAGCTGCAGGGTCTGGGGGGGTGGAGTCAGGAGGTTACCTCCTCCAAACAGCAAACATGTATTACCCTACAGCGAAGCCAGGCTAGACGTTTGGGAGCGGCTTAACTGGGTGGTCTGGCTCAGGGACTCTCAGGAGTTCCGGTCAGGATGTCGGCCAGGGCTGCAGCCATCTGAAGGCTTGACTGAAGGTGGCTGTCTTGTGACTGTCGGCTGGAGGCCTCAGGTCCTCACCACGTGGGCCTCTCTGGGGCTGCCTGAGCATCCTTACGACATGGCAGCTGGCTTCACCCAGAGTGAGTGATGCAGGAGAGAGAGCGCAAGCGGGAAGCCACAGTACCTTTTAGGACCTGGTCAGAAGTCACACACCACCACTTCTGCCTTATTCTGTTTGCTGCAAGTCCAGCCCACACTCAAGGGGAGGGGAATTCATCTCCACCTCTTGAAGGGAGGAGCGTCAAAGGATGTGTGGAGCTATTTTAAAACCATCCCAGGGTCATAGTTCCTTGCGCTCTGGGTGATGATGACATAGGCACTTACCCAGCTCCTCTGAAGTGCTGGAGCCCCAGGGGTTTCGGTCCTTGTGCAGCCAAGGGAGCCCTGGTCCTGCTTTGCCACTTAACCAGCTGTGTAAGTATGTGCGAATCACCTAACACCCTAAGCCCTGATTTGCTTCAAATAGAGAGAAAGATCCCCGCTTCCCCACTTCACTGTGCTGTTGTGAAAATGTCTGTGGAAGGACTTTGTGAAGGGTGGTGATGGTGATTACTGTTAGAGCCAGGGGACCTCAGGGAGCCCGGCCGGCCCCTGCTGCCACCCTCCCTGGGTGTGGGTGATAGCTTAGCCACGTGGTTCTCTCCTGACCTGCTCCCGCGCTTTCCCTGACCTTAACTAGACACACGAGGGACCAGAAATGGTGCTGGGCTAACCCAGCCCCCTTTGCTCCCCCTGCACCAAGGAGGTGCCTTTGGCTCAGAAGGCGAGAGGGGCCGCCCCCGGCCTGCAGCTGCTGGCTGGTGTGAGGGGAGGAGAGAGGCACGCCTGGCGCCCTTGTTGTCGGTGCCCCCTGCCCCGGTGCCACTGAGACATGGCTCGCGCCTCCCATATCGGTGGTGGGAGAAGGGTCCTGTTTTCCCTTTAATTCTTCAGTTTTAAGACTTTTCAATGCTAAGGTTTTCAAAGGTCTGTAGAAGACATGGGGGTTTTGGAGGCCATAAACCTAATGAGAACAGATGGTCCAAGGAGTCCTGAGCAGGGCTGCGGAGACCAGCATTGTCCTGGAACAGAGGAGTGTATATATGCTCAGCAAGGATAAAAGAAACGGAGGGGCTGCACGCAGCTGTTTCCAGCGCTAGCGGCCAAGACTCGGGCCTGGTGGACGTACTAGTTTGTGGGAAACAACCACAGCGTCCCGGGCAATTATGGTTATTTCTATCTAGTCACCCTTTACAGTTTTGAGTTTGTAAACTCCATGAGCCGTTCAGAACGCCTCTCCTTCTGGGATCTTGTCACTTGGGGGACCGGGGAGAGGAGAGCTGCCTTCTCCTCCGTTCTTGCCTCGTGGGCCTGTTCCGTGCTGCTGTCTGCATGGGGAAGCCCTCGCCCTCCCCATGACCCCTGGTGGTTTCATAATCAGAGGCTGCCTCTCCAGTACGTTTAAATAGAATTACAGCTGATTGTGGGAACTGAGTAGAGTTCGGTCTTCCTGGGAGCTGCGGGGATGGGGGCTTCTTGGGGACTGGACAGCAGGTGGGGCTCGGTGGAGGCCTCCGGCTGGGGTGGCCCTGCTCAGGGCTGTGATCTGGGAGCCTTTGCCGCAGCCCTGCCTTTTCTTGGCCCTCTTGACACCCAGGGCCCTGGAGTTCTTCCCCGTGTCCCTAAGGTCTTCTTGCGAGGAACCTCTGTGATGGTGGGAAAACCCCTTGGCTCTCCAGGCCTCAGTCTCCTCCTCTGTAAAGTGGGGGTGGGGGGTGGGGGTGGTTTGAGCTCGATGCCCCTGGGGGCCCTTCCAGCTCTGACCCGCTTTCTGCGGGTGAAGGGTGCTGAGTGTGAAGTGTCAGCAGACGGTGTCAGGGGAGGTTGGTCTCACGCCCGGGGCTGGGGCAGTGATGCTGGGAGAGAGGATTTCAGGGGGTCACAGACGCTTTGGTCGGAGGGGCCCTCCTGGTCCCCTGAAATGATTTCCATCTGTGCGTTTCGGGTCCCAGGAGAACATTCTGCTCCATTCCCACCCATCTGTTAATCGTTTCCTGTTGTCTCCTGCACATCTGTCTCTCTTTTTCTGTGCTTCTGTTATTCTCTCTCTCTCCCGCTCATACCTACCGCCCTTTCTCCCCTCTTTTCTCTCTACCTGCCTTAATGTTACATAGAGCTGAAAACTGAATTCTATTACTGCTTGAAATTACTCATAGAGGTGGGGGTTTTTTTCCTTTTTCTAAAAAAAATCAAGTGTATGGGACATATAAAAAGCAGAGTCATCTTTTTATCCTCTCTATTAAAAGAAAGAGAGAATTGCATCTTTCTTGAGGGTGGCCCCGCGGCAGTTTCTTTCCGCAGCAGCCGGAGCCGTCAGAGGTTTGGAGCGCGGGCAGAGAGTGAGCGTGTGTCCGTGTGTGTATACCTGTGTGTGTGCACGAACACTCACACATGTGTGTGAGTTTCATCCCCAGAGGTCCTTCCCTAACAGAATATTCTCTTCTTTCTCCTCGGTGGCTGTCGGGGACGCTGATGTGAGTGTTCCAGATGGGCGTGCTCTCCTCCAGATGCCTTTGCTGACTTTCGTGAACGGCTCCCACTAACGTGTGCTGCGGGGGAGTGTTTGCTAACCCGGGGTGTTTGCTGCACTGGTGGGATGGGTGGGGGGGGGCGGGCCCGGGGCTCCTGCAGAAAGATCAGCTCGGCCTTGGAGGGCTGGGAGTTTCTCCCTCCCTGGCCTCTCCACGGAGAGAAGAGGTGCAGCTGCTTCCTAGCCTGCTGTAGACACGTTTGCTAATACGGAACGTCAGTCAAGGCCACACACTCACTCCCCTGCTGTGGAAAGTAAGGGCGACCCCTGTCCTTTCCTAGAGGCCGCGCAGCCTCGGGCACCACGGTCAGCTCTGCGGGCTCAAGGCCTTGGCTGCCGGTTCCTTGAGATTTGGAGGTGGTTGTGGCCATGACCTTGCATGAGATGTTCCTCATACAAGTTGTCTTCAGGAGCCGTCAGAGTATTAAGGTGTGGGCAGCAGTACCCTTCTGGGTGAGAACCTGTTCAGTCACCAATTCTATTTGGATCTACAGGGAAAGGAGTGCTGGGGCCCACCATCGAATTTTCTGCCCAGCCACTCACCTTCGTCCCGGTGCCCATCTTGGTGGGACCAGGTTCTGTGGGGTTTATATCTTCATTTATACGCCTCCCTGTTCCACAAAGGATTTAAGTCTGGTTGTGGAAATACAGATGATAAATTGGACCAACTAAGAAAAATGAAGCTTGAGAGAAAGGGAATAGGCAGGTAAGATGGAGTCAGAGTGAGAAGAAAAGCTTAAGTGCATGTCACAAAGTCACAGACTGTCCAAGATGCTGGGCTTCCTGGCAGCCAGTGCAAAGAGGGAAACGCAGTTCAGAGATTCAGTGTCCCAACACGGTAGCCAGCCGGAGGCTCAGAGGCTCAGCTTGTCCACAGTGGTTATTCTCACGGGTCCCGAGAGTCAGGCAGAACATTACAAACAACATTCTTGGCAAAGCCCCTCCGTGAACACAGTAAGCAGTAGGATTCTTCTCTTTTTAGCAGGTTCTCTCTGTGGCTTCCATCCGAAGCTACTTCCAGCCCCCAAGCTGCCCACACGAACCTCCTTTGCTCCCCACCTCTGCTGAGTTGAATGATTGTTTTCTACTCCTGCCTGGATATCTGGGTTCCCCTTGATCCGTCACTCCTAGTGGGCCAGAGGGTCACTTCTTTTCTACCCTTTAGTCCATGCTCAAGGATGCAGAGGAGAACAAACTTGAAACCATTTTTGTTTCAGTCCTGAGATAGTCGTTGTTGTTGTTGTTATTATTACTCTTATTATTTTGGTAATGTGTGGGTTCATGGCTCAGAATCCAGACCACGTGAGCAGGCTGAATTGAGGATGTTTTGGTGACTCTGGGCTGCCCTCTGAACCCCAGAGCGATCGGTACAGAGAAAGCCCTGGCCCCGGATTTAGAGGGGACCACGTGTGCAGAGGCACAGACTCAAACCGGTCCCCTACCCGTTCTCAGGATGTGGGGTTCTGTGCTGGGGCGGACGGAGCTGGCCAGGCTGCTTCTGCAGTTTCTGGCCTGGCCTGAGAGCTTTCGGGCCTGGGCTGGCCTGTCTCTTTTTCCTCCTGTCAGGTGTCCAGAAGGAATGTCCTTGTGATAGGTGTCGAGTTCTGATTTGGGACAGGAGCCAAGCCCTCTGAAAGGATGTCAGGTCTCCACCTCGGTTAGTGGACCAGCAGCCACTGTGGGTACAACCCCGGGGTCAGGTGCTCCGAGGGGCCCAGGAGGATCAGCCATAGCTCAGGATGCTTTCTGTGGGGCTGAGGCAGTGAGACGGACGGACAGGAGAACCAGGGTGCGCAGCACAAGCCATGTGGTACACATCCCAAGCCCCGCTGGGAGTAGAGAGGCAGGCAGGACCGGAGCATTCAGGGAGGGCTCCCTGGAGTTGCCAGCCTTCGTGTTCCTCGGTCCTAAGGATGCAGCTGATTTGGCCAGGGGAAGGGACCAGAGGGAACCTAAACCCGGAGGAGACAGGCTGGGGGATGCACTGGAGCAAAAAACGCAAAGGAAGTTTAATGATCTCGGGCTCTTACTCAGGTGCTGTCTGAGCAGGTTTCTCCCAGCCTACGATTCAGCTTTGAAATCCGTGGTTAAGGCAGCTCTGCTCTCGTGCTGCCCCCTGCCGGCTATTGGGAGTATAGCAGCAATGACCCGGAAAGCGGCTCAAGATTAGGCTTCCGCTGTTAGTTTTACTAAGCCCACACCGGGTGCTGTTATTCCCCTTTTGGTAGAGAGAACACATTTGGTGGCTGAAAATGTTTTGGGGAGAAGTAGCAGGCTGTCCCAGAAAGAGCTCTGGTTTTTATCTGCAGGCCTTGGGGTGGTCGGACCAGGTGATCTGAGGGCCCCCTGGCTGTGCATTAAAAACAATATACGAAGCCTAGGAAGATGTGTCTCTGGGTGTCAGATAAACTGGGTGTGGGCAGGAAGTATTTTACGTCTCGACTGAGATAGGACCACATGGCCAGATGACATGGAATATGCTCAGCATTGAACATTGCAAAAATACCGTGCACTCAGTGACATGAGTCCATTCTGGTGCTCTCCCTGGGGATTAGTCACGGCAGACCAAAACGGGAGTCCTGCTGTCGTTTGGGAGGGGAAGACTGCTGCTAGATTCTCCTTCCACTAGGCTCCTCTGCTCCTCTAGGACTTGGCCTTTGAAATGAAAAATCTACATAGCTTTGCTGAAGGTTCTCTTTGAAGGCTTCCTGTCGCTTAAAGAATGCTTGGAGCTGAATGTGCAAGTGTAATGAAGGCACTGTCAGCATCGCTGGTTTGTATTATAGAAAACTGTGCTATTCCTCTCCAGAGGTCACTGCCACCATCTTTCCTAGAGATTCTTTCCCGGAGCATTCTTCTGGTATGGCCTCACAGCTCTAAGCTGCAGGGTTAGACATGTCTCAGTTAAGGCAGCGCTGTCGCCACCTCCCCTGGTAGCCTATCAGTAGATTCTGAACCCTGTGCCCGTTCCCATGCACGGCGCCTGACCAGTCTCACAGTTGCAATGATCCTGGATCCTCTGCAGTATCGCTGGAGGGTACCGGGGCCTCGGCTCTCCTAACCGGCCTGGCTTGCCGTGCTGTGTGCCTAACTTTGACCTTGCGTGCCCTTCTTCGCTCCTTTCTACACTGATCCCACTTCGCTGTACTTTGTCTCCTCTGCGTAGATTGTAAATGGACATTCAGTGGTTGAGGGGGATGTGAATGAGGGTGGTGTGAAGGCATGGGAGCCTCACCAGGTCCAAAACCCATTGGCGTTTTCCGATGATGATGAGGAAGACCTGCTGGATTTCATGTACAAGTATAAAGCGCCTCGAAGGACGGAGTTCCCCCTGGAGGTACACGGTGTTGGGGGCTGCGGGGTGGAGCGTGTGTTTGCACAAAGGGCTCTGCCCTGGAGAACTGGGGCTCCCGGGGGCAGCATCTCTTCGGGCACCCAACGCCTCTGGAGTGCCTGGAGCGGGGAGACCTCCCTGCATCAAACAGGCAGGACAAGCCACTAGGTAGCGTCCAGCTACTTGCCAAGGGGTAAAAAAGACCCTACTACTTTTATTTGGAAATAGGAGAGGTGAGATAGTGCCTAGGGATTAAAAAAACAAACAAAAAACCCAACTACCAACCTAAGGTGATGTGTGAATGAAAAGCAACCAAATGAGTGTTTTGGAGGAAGAAAAACTCAGAATGTGTCATATGACAAGTCTTTATAAATAAAGCGTGTTCATCCCTGTATCTCCATGACACAGCGTAGTGCCTGGTACAGCACAGATGTTCATAAAATGTTATACAAGGGGCACAGCCCTTCAAAATGACCAAGACAATACACTTGATGTGTGTACTCTTGCCAGTTGTAGATGCAGATGGAGTTTTGGCAGCAGGAGGGCCAAGCCTAGAGCCTCAGGGCCTTGCTCTGTGCAGGGTCACCAGCCTTGGGCTCGGGTGCAGGGCCCGCAGAATCGGGGGACCCCAGAGTCTTCCTCTCTGTCCCGTCGCATCTCCCCCCCTTCCCCTTCCCCTGAACACTGCGGCCTGAGAGTCCATCTGAGGCAAGTTGGGAGTCCCCCTGCCCACAGAGCAGAGACCCTTGTGAGCCTCAGGTGAGGCAGTGCATGGAAAGGCTGACCTCCTTCCCGGAGGGCAGGGAAGGTGCCAGAACCATTCTAGGTCCTGAGGCTTTGTGCCTTTTTGCTTTTGTTTTTGTACAGCTGCGCAAGCTGCTTTACTGTTTATGGTTAATCTGCTTGAGGCAGATCCCTAAAACAGGTTTCACCCATTCTTTTCTTACTGTGTCCAGAGGTGGCTGGTAAACATTTCCTAGTCGCAAAGGTGTAGCGTGAGGACTCAGGATGTGGAAGGCCAGAGCCTTCCGTTCCTGCTTCTTTCTCTTCTGCTTCCCTTCCGTGTGCCCACTGGGCACCAAGCTCCTTGCTGGGAAACGGTGGTGAACTCGGCCCTGCTCCCAGGGAGTCACAGTGTGGCAGGGGACACAGTGCACAGAGCAGGCACGCTCCCGCGTGGGCGCAAAGTCCTCTGACGCCCTGTCACGTGCTAAGCAATGTGAGAACCAAGGAGCCGATCCTGGCTGTGAGTGGGCCATGTGGGTGGATGGAGAAGGGAGGAAGGACCTCTGGTCAGAAGGGATGGAGGTATGAAAGGGCAGTGTAGAAAACGAAGCTGAGTACAGAGTTGGGGCCAGTTGTGAACCCCCTTGAGTGCTATGCTAGAAAATATTTCCCTTTTCTTTTATTGTGATCCCCTGTGATTTGTGTGTCCCATGGAAGGAGGGGTCCCTTGATAGCCATTTGTAGGGAAGATGAAGTGGAACCCTTCATACTTAAAGGCAGTGTTTCCTCTGTTGTGTGGTTTGCTGTGCATGAAGGGATTTCACCTCCAGAAAGAGGACTGGAAATTTGGTGATGGAAATTTGAAGCACGTACCAAGTAACACGAGGCTGGTTCCCAGGGAAGAGATGGGGAGGTCTTTCTGCTGAGTCATTTGGTAAGATCATTTTGCTCTCAAGGCAGAAACAAGATGTGTCATCCTTCTGTGTAGCCATTCACTTGGGAGATCCAGGGACTTAGGAGAACATGAAGAGGGAGGCGCCGGGCTCAACTGGCTCAGCTTCGTGGCGATGCTTGGGCTGTGACTCCGATTCCTACTGTGGACACTCCGAGTGGGCCCCCAGCCGCACCAGCCTCTTCACACACGCGTGCATTTGACCAAAGGAGCTGGAGTCTCAACACAAACCCAGCCGGGTGCTGTCCTCGAAAGCTTCCATGCTATGCCAAATTGAGGGGTCCTTTTTCTGTTTCCTCTACCAGGCACCGCCTAGAATCCTTCGATCTCGCTTCAGGAAGAAAAGTACCTCATCCTCGGCCACTGAAACCACGTGAGTGAGATGAGCCAACAGCACTGGATCCACAGAATGTTTCTTCTCTGCCTTAAAGAGCTATTTATTCACTAATAACATAGAAACCCGCAGGCTGGTGTGCTGAGCGTGCAGCCTCGGACACGGCCTTTCCTCTCTCCCCTGTTCCACTTAGAAGAGTTTCTCTTCCCCCCTCCTTTTCTTTCTTTTGCTGGGGAGAGGCTAAAGGGAAAGGTAGTGTGCCGGGGGTCAGCAGTTTTCCACAACTGGACCGGCGTACAGACAGCAGTGTTTTAGAAATAGAAGAGAATCGCCCCCACTGCTGGGATGCACATTTGTAATTTCTTGGTCGCATACTTCGTTTTTAGTCCTGTATATGCAAACAAGGCAATTTGCTTTTTAACTTCTTTTTGTTCTTGGTACCAGTACTTTGGACTACAATGTACATATTTATGGCTTTTGGCTTAAGATAGTGGACTTGCAAGGGCTGCCAGAGGTTCTGATGTGGAAGAAAACTGCAAAAGCAGAAGTGTAAAAAATTATCTTGATTCTAGAGGATGTCTCAGATGTGCTTACGGAGCTTCCAAATACACCTCGAGTACAGCATCCCTCTTCCTGCAGGGCGATGGTCCATATCCTTCAGACAGTCAGTCAACGGACCAGAGTGAAGTTTTAGAATGAAGAGAGGCAACACTTTAGTGACAGGTGTGAGTGTAACGAAGACAGGGGAACAGCCTAGAATAAGAGAAAAGTCACAGGAAGCTTGTCTCTCCCATGGATCCAGGATTAGGAGCTTCTGAATCCTTACAGGGGGTTTATCATTGTCTTAGGCAGGAGCCTCGCCCTTGGTAAAACTTCTCTCGGGCGTGTAGACTTACAGAGCGGTTGTAAGGAATCATCTTGAGTGGTTCAAAAGTGCTTGACGATGACTGTGTCTCCATAATAGGACCCAGTGCTGTGACTGATTTCCCCAGGTAGAGGAGCCCACAGTGGGAGCTCGTTTCAGGAAACACTAAGCGAAAACCAACCCATCCACCCAAACAAAAGCAACCCTACGATCATGCTTTGTTTCAGATACGCGGTGAAGTACATCTGAGACACCTGGGTAACAGTCCAAACGCTGGGTTCTAGAAAGGTTTCAGAGGTCGAGACCTTCATGGATGTGACTGGCTCCCCAGCTCACGGGCAGCTCTGGCTCATGCCCTCTGTTCCTCTCCTGGCCTGTGCAGAATGTGAACCAGAGAGATGTCGCACGCTCATGGGCACTCGTACTTCATACAAGCCCGCATCGCTTAGGAAGAGAACAAATCACTGTCTGAGGGAACTCCCTGCTTAGACTGAGAATTTTATCTGAAAAGAAGAATCTGGTTTAAATAGCATTTTGGTCTGAGGCAGCTGCTCTGGTAGAGCTGAGCCTAAATGTAGGACTCATATACTTACGCTTAGAGTTGGTGTTTCCTTTCAGTGTGATGCATGCAGTGGTCACAACCCAGTTACTTATAATACTTCGATTGTGTTTGTTCATAGATAGGCCCTGAACACTAGAGAGTGTTATGTACCACATAGAACCTACTGTCGATCAGCTATAAACAGGCCCAGTTAAAGACTGAGCTATGCAAACACACATCAGTCTTTGCTGGTGACACACTGGCTGGATCTTAGCCACCTCCGAGAGGGTTTTACTTGAAGTTGCTTGTTACCAGATGTGCATATTTAAATCCCTTTTCCCCACAATGCCTCTGAAGGTGACTTTGTAATTTACAAAAGGATTTACGAAAATAAACCTAAAAGCAAATTTGTGGTTCAGAGGGCAAACAGAGGCTGTCTGTTCATTGTCTGTGCCCCACACCCACCAATACCTAAACCCCCGAGGGAAGACAGAAAACCTGTTTTCTTCAAGCTCACTGAATAGTTTCAGACAGAGGAAAAATATACGCTTTAAAATGTATTTACCTGTCATTGGGAGTACCCAGAATTATCAGAAACAAAAGCAAAAAAAGCTTAACTCATTAAGCAGCTTTTTAGCAATTTTTTTTTTTGCCAAAGTAATAAATGCCTTTAGCAGCAGAGATTAAAATCCTATTGTGAACAAGCTATATTTTCACCATTTTACAATGGAGAGTTTTAACATACGGGCTATGAAGTTTGCACTCAACTATGCCAAAAACAAGTTTGAAGCACTCTACTCTCAGACATGCTGTATTAGTTCTCATTTAAGATTTAAAAAATATAAAGGTATCCAAACTGCTGTCTTAATGTAACTATTTTTCCTTCAAGTGTTGGTTAGGGAGTTGGATTCTCTCTTAAAAACACCCACTGTACAACTGAGAGCAGCTGTCATATTTCTGGCAAAACATGTTTACTTATCCAACAAGCTGTGTATTTGTGTGGACTGACGTAAAATGTGAATGCCTCAAAGTGTACAAGTAGTGATGTGGAGTTCTGTCTAGAGGATAAAACTGAATGTTTTTAATTGGCTGATTTACAGACACAGGCTGTTTACAAAATGCTAGCTGGAAAGTCTGTACTTTTCATGTAGTAATTTTCGGTTCTTTGCTATTGAGCACCTGTTCTGTTTCTGAGAAGATGAGACGTGGTATTGTACTTATAAACTGGAGAGTTAGGCATAATCCCTCCTGGCTTTATGTGAATAGCTTGCTCACTTCGCTGGCCTCTGAAATGTATGTTCTCTGTAGTATACTGTCCATGTGTCTGTGATAACAGTGCTTGTCAACCACGACCACCACCGAGTACCTTCCTAGTTGTTCACCTTGCACAGTATTGGAAATGGTAAAGGATGTGTGTTTCATTCACAAACGGCACACACTCAGAGAGCTGGCATTCTGGACGGTGACTGTGTACACTTGCCCTTGGTTTACTTCTGTAATCCCCATAGAATGATCTGTAATCAAATAGTATACTGAACTGTGCATCAAAGGGATGTAAAGTTACAGTACTCCAAAGGTTGAAGTTCTGCTGTTTTGTTATAATGCCTGATATATATCTTGAATAAAGTCTTAACCTTTTTCTTTTAAAAGACATCTTTGTAATGTTGGGCTTTTGAGGAAAGAGAAAATACTTTAAAAAAAATGTATTCGTCAGCAAGGATTAGAAGCTGAGTACTCAGCCACTAACTGGCCTGGTGCCTGGTGACTTGGCTCCGTGCCTACTGCACAGAATTGTTGCAAAGAGAAAAAAATTAATTGATATCTGTGCTTTGAAAACCAGTTGCTCACATAAATATAAATCTGGTACTATGTTTGTCTTACATTTTTAAAGGTCGCCAGTGGAAACCAGGTAGCTGTGAAAACAGGGTAGTTCATCTGCAAGGCAGTTTTAATTCTGCAAACAGACCTTTGGTCTGTTGCTTTCCTTCTAGGAACCTGTGTCCTCATCGGCAAATGCGGGAGAAGGGATGCAGGTCAGAAGAGGGCGGGGCCCATGGAGATGCACTGGGAGTTATGGATGCCCTTAATGCCACTGCAGCCCTTGCCTTTAAGATATAAACGGGTACATGGACTTCCCTGGCGGTCTGGGGGTTAAGACTCCGCACTTCCACTGCAGGGGGCGCGGGTTTGATCCCTGGTTGGGGAAGGTCCCACATGCCACGTGGTGTGGCCAAAAAAAACAAAAACAAAAACAAAAACAAAAAAACCCCCAAAGAAAGACTTGGAAACTCAAAATCTGAAACGTCACAATGAAACCCTCATTTTCTTTGCCTTTATAGTCCTATGTGTTTGACGCGAGGACTGTAAGGCATGGCAGCAGCAGGTGAAGAAGACAATAGAGGACTGAAAGAAAGAAGAGGTGCAAAGGCAGGCTGAAAACCCACTCGTTAATCATTTCCTGAGCCAAGTCCAATGTCAACAGAACTGATATTAACCAGGTTAAGAGCTGACAAATAACAGAAAAGCAAAGTTATAAAATTTAAAAGCTGACTTGGTTCAGTGTCATAAAGAAGTATTTAGTATTTCTGGTGCTAGATTACAGTCACGTGTTGATTTTGATGTGAATTTTCATATGTTGTTAGAAGGCTTGGGGAAATACACAGGATTCCAAGGAGATGGGACCAGGGTTCTGTGACTTACTAGTTGTATTTTGGGTAATGTATTTAACCTTCTGTGAGCTTCAGTTTCTGCAAATCTAAACTAGGGACAGATAATATCTCCCTTGCAAGGTTGGTATGAGAGTTAGCCGTCTTGTGGATCCATGCTGGGATGTAGTAGGTGTTAAATAAATTCCACTTTTACATATACTTGAATGTCATTTAGATAGACCCTTTAATGTAATAAGATGTTCTGTTGTCAAACTATAAAATCACTGTAGATGATAAGCCCTGCTACCCATAAAACAAAAATTACATGTATGAAAATTCCCTTTCCCCTAAATCATGTGCCTGTCAGCCCTCCACTTCAGTCCATCTCTGGCTGCTGGGGCCTTAGCCAGCCCTTGTCTCTACCTCTCCTGCCCCTGGCCTAGAGGGGAAACCAAGGTGCTCTGAGGCCCACAGACCCCGTTGTCCGCGTTGCACTAAGAAGTCACGGAGGTGGTAGAAAAGGCTCCTCCTCAGCTTCTTCGGGCGCCAGACCCATCCCGCTTCCAAGGGTGAATGGAAGAGGTGAGGAGCCAGGCAGGTGAGAAATGATGTGGAGGCCTTGTGAGGGACTGGCTTCTGCTACCCCAGAAGCAGGAGGAAATGAAAACCCATCAAAACAGAAAGCCATTCCATGCGTCAGGTTCTTGAGATTCTCGTCTCGAATCAAATGTGTGTTCTTTATTAACTGGTCCCATAAACAGACACACACTTGGCCTTGGAGTTTTAGAACACTCTCTTGTCACCCTTTTTTCCTTTTAGTGAACACACACTGGTTTCAAGGAGTTCCTCCAATAATCCTAGTCTGACATGCCACAGAATTCCAATTTGGTTATCTTTTTCTTAATCTGTTAATAGAGGAACTGCATCTTATCATCACCAACTATTATATTAAAGGATCTGAAGCAGTAATTGAGGCATAATTGTATTTAATAATGGTTTTTCAACCCGTCAAAATGCTCTGCTCTTTGAAAATGCTTCCCAGAGATTCTGACGGGACAGCGGAGAACCACTGCCCTAGACTGTAAGCATCCTGAAAAGCTGAATTTTCCTCAGCGCCGCTTACCTGACCCTCTTCATGTGAGCAATGCTTAACTTCTGCATCGTTCCTAAACATGACTGAGATTACTTTTCCCCTTTAGATTCTACAATGTGTCTTTGGAAAATTTTGGAAAAAGTTTACCCTCACAATTAAAAGTATGAAATCTCAAGTGGATAAATGAACTTTTATAAAATATAGTATCTTTTAATTCTTGGTTAAAAAGTTTTTGTCTCCACTTATACAGCCCCTTTAGCTTCACGAATGGGCACACTGAAAGGCTATTTCATTTACTCTTCTCTCAATGAAAATCCTGTTCCAATAAACTAAGTGAGAACTGCTATGAATGCAGTGAACCTAGTAGACCAGACGTGTTAGCACCCCAGGCCCACCTCTGAGAGAAAACTGCTCACATAACTATTTTTTGCTCCACGTGGACCTGCTAGCCCAATCAAATGGGCCAGGGTGGGCTCCTGACCTCAGAACAGCCAGTCATCACACTGGTCGGTGACCCCTGATGAGACCTGGTGTAAAAGGACAAACTGACCCAGTTAGAGTCTCTTTGCAGTTTGTTAGAGACTGGAGATAGGAGCTGAGGGTCACGATGTAGGTGCACTCAAAGGTGCATGCTAGCGTTATTATGGGAAGCAGACACTAAGAGTAAACAAAAGCTGTGAATCAGAGAAGTTGGTGAGGAAAGAGAATGGAGCCAGTGATGTAAAAAGAACAGAGCCCCGTGCATGGCAGACCCCAAGCCTAAAGATCCACCACTTCTGCTGCTGAGGCCCCTGGAGGTGCCTCAGATCCAGCATCGCCATGTAATTTCTGCTCTTCCTGAGGCCTGGGGGTTAGTTCTGGGTGGGAGATGGGGGTGTGAGGTGTTCCTGCGTTCCCAGGCACATATCCTTAATAATGTCACACTGCTTGAGCTAACTTGTTAGCTTTACAGTCTTCTTACGTTTGTCCTAACTGGAGATTCCTTGCAACTAAATAAGCCTAATTGGAACGACTGTTTAAGCCATTACCATTTGTTAAAAATAATCAGAATTTAAAATTTCTATTTCTCTGAACAAATCTGGGAATGTTTAATCCATTAAGTTTTAAAACATTGGTAAGTTTAATGTTGGTACTACATGTTTCCATATCAGTTGGTACAACTTACATCATGTCTTATACTGTTTCATCTTTGCAAAGACATCATATACACAAAGATACACATTCAATAACTGGGAAATCATAAAACTTCTGATCTATACTCTCAAGTTTGTTCGGTCATGATACTTCTGATAAAGGTCATCAGCATACCAGTTTCGCCTCTTCCAGAAAGATGTTGTCATTTTATCTAAGAGCTTACTTTGGGTTTTATTGCAGAAGACAAATTCCCTCAAGCGTCTTTTTCTTGCAACCGTCTTCTTCCATAATTTTTTCTTATAACCAGCCTGTTAGATAATATTACAAAGACAATTTAAAACATTATATAGGAAACAACAGCTATGTTAACCACTCATGGTTCATAGGCTCGCTGGAAACAAAGACTAAACTTTCATAGGGGCTGGTATGTTTTTCAGAAAAATGTGATTCTCAGTGTGGGGGAAGACAGAGAAATCGTGTGTAGTTTGAAAAAGGAATGTTAATAATTTAAGAGTTTTAAAAAGATTATTTAAAGCCACAGCAAATAAAGCTAAATAAATCGTTGTGCTGGTGAAGCACAGGGTAATGATATATAATTGTAACAGCTAAATTTATATGCATTACCTCATTATCTCTTCAACAATCTTCAACAATAGCATAGTATTATTCTCATTTTACAGATAAAAGAGAAACAATTAGAGCAGTTAAGCAGCACACTGAGGCCAGAGAATTAATAAGAGCTCTTAACCACTACACTGCTATCTTCCTAAAGTGGAGGATGATGAAGGGAGTACTGGCTAGTTGGTGACACTTACGTTCATTTAAGGGGGCCTAAGTATGACAAAGGCTGAGAAGCAGAGTTCTCAAGTATACTGTGTCATTTATTCTTTTCACACACTGGGGGGACCAGTTTCTACAGTAAGTACTTTTCTAAGGAATAATGACCGCAGGAAAACTATTATTGGGAGTGGTGAAGGAATAATCCATGCATTATTAATTTTGAAGAATTATTTTTTTTTTTTTTTGCTGTATGCGGGCCTCTCACTGCTGTGGCCTCTCCCGCCGCGGAGCACAGGCTCCGGACGCGCAGGCCCAGCAGCCATGGCCCACGGGCCCAGCCGCTCCGCGGCACGCGGGATCCTCCCGGACCGGGGCACGAACCCATGTCCCCCGCACCGGCAGGCGGACTCCCAACCACTGCGCCACCAGGGGAGCCCTGAAGAATTAATTTTTGAAGAAATAGATAATTAGATCGAATATAAAACTATAATCATAGCCTGTTTTATTTTTTTTCTTTTGGCCGTTCTGCACAGCTTGTGGGATCTTAATTCCCCAACGAGGGATTGAACCCAGGTCCTCAGCAGTGAAAGCGTGGAGTCCTAACCACTGGACCACCAGGGAATTCCCAATCATAGTCTGTTTAAACTAGAAGAGACCTTAGTTGCCACCCAGGTTAATGCTTGGCTACAGTAATTTATAGGAGAGGTGAGACTAGAAACGCAGCTATTGGTAAGAGTATTTGGGTCCTTTCAAACCAAGGGCTCTTTAGGGCAGCACACTAACTGAACAAAACCACAGCTCTTTGCTGAGAAGGTGCCTTGGGGTTTCTGACATGACTTAGTGTCATCACTGTGACCAGCAACTTCTGTAGTACAGTGATGCTTAGAAATAAGGAAGGGTCATTTCAGAGTTCTGGCTTTAAAATGCCAGAGATTAGATGGTTACTTCTCATTACTTACAATTCTAAGTTGAAAGAGTCAAAGAAAAATCCCCATATTTGTGTAACAATTTTCTAGTTTGCAAGCCAATCTGGGTCCCTGTGGATCTCTGACATACAAACAGCTAGTTTGCTGTCCTGCCCATCAACAGCAGAATATCTCCTTTGAAGATTATTCTGTGGAATGTAACCACTGTGAAAATGCTTGAGACTTTTTGGACAATCTACAAGTTCATAAATGGAAGGAGGGAATAAGCAATAAAAATTAGGGACACCTGGATGAAACTGTGCTGCAGAAAATACTTTCTGTTTTTATACATTAGTGTAAATTAACCCACCCAGATTTTTGTTTTCTTCTTAAAATTAGATTTTGATAAAGCAGGCCATTCTGCATATGGAATACTTTTGGGGTCCTTGAGCAGGGACTAGGTATTATGACTGGAGAATTCGATCAGGTCATTTATAACAGTGTGAGGGTTTCAGGGCCCAGTAAAAGGGATGTGGAAAGGAAGGCAAGGAAAACCACCCATTTTATGTTATCTAGGGCCAGATGAGGACCTGGAAATAGTATAACAAAAGGGAGGAAATGTTTCCAATGGTCCCAAATTCATAACTGTGTGCTGAATTACTTAGTTCAGCTACTTATGGATTACATGAGCTTCTACTGACTAGTGTAGGAAACTAACGACCACAGTACTGTTCCAATGGAGAAGTGAGCTGAGAGTTCCAATTAACTTATTTGTCTACAAATTTAGGATTTTTTATAACAGAGTACCTTTCAAATAGTGAGAAAATGCTACCAATTATCTTATTTTCACAGGGAAACAAATTTTAATCTTTAAAGAATTATTTGTTTGTTAACTCCCAAGTAGTAAAAGGGAATTAGGATTTGAAATTATCAAAACTCAAAGGTGTTTTGCAAACCTCTGGTCTTCAGCTGCTTCCTAATTATCACCTACTCTGTTTCCATGAATAATAAGGACATGAATGGAAAAGACCTGCTGCTGTGGGAGAAGACAGAGTAGGAATACTCTGTCAGAGTCCCCCTCTAGAGGCCATGGTCCCTGGCCAGAATAAATATTGGAGTTCTGTCTGATATGATCACCAATCATACACACCACCAGAGAAAAACTTACAAAGTCAAATTTAAAACAAGTATATGAGGGGTTAATGTTCCGCCATAAAGAGTAAGCCACCTGGAGAACCCAATCCAAGGTAGGCTGGAAGCTATTCAGTCCCAAATCTACACCACGGGACTAAGTCCTTGCTGAAGCCCGCTCTGCTGTTCTAATGCTCTGGGCTTAAACAGAGCCTCCCCACAGGTTATTTACATATCGGGGGCTTCAAAGGGGTTCCGGTAATCATCAGACAAGACAGACATGTAAGAGACCTGGAATGAACCTGTCCTGCAGTGAAGACTTTCGCCATTGTGAATAATATTTTGTTATACGAATAGTTAAAAATGTTTTCTTTACATGTATTCACTGACATGAGAGATGCCTGCCAAGCCGGGACTTAAGCACGGCACTGTAAAAGCTGCTGGTAGGATGGGGGGAAGATGTGTCAAGGAACAGGCTGACTTCTGCTTCAGTTTAATCTAACCTCACGCTCCTTTTCTAAGCAAGTAACCGTGTGAAGACTCACCTTTCTCCTTAGCCACAGGCCAGAATGAAGTCGAAGAAACCTATAGATGGCAGCTTTCACAGTCTTTCTCTTGCCTTTTCTTGAACTGTAGTATGTTACAGTTCTGACTGGTGGCTTCAGGACGTTTGGGAGCAAGGGGACCACTCTAAAATATATTGAAACATTTTTAACTCAGCAATAAGACATTAAAGGATAAAATCCACTTCTGTACTTAGAAATGAAAGCAGCAGCTCCACTGGAATAGAGCTCACTTTCAATAAACATTGTTACTCCAGATGATCCGTGACACTACACATAAGAATGGCAACAAGTCCTCCATAATCTACCCCCTCAATCCCTAGGAGAGAATTTATTCTGCTGTATTTGAATCACCTGATTCCTTATCCATCTGCCACTAGATTATAAACTCCTTGAGGACTTTAACTTATTTTTAGCTTCGTATCGTTTTTGCCCAGTATGGTGCTGGGCACCGAGGAGCGCTTAACTAAATATCTGCTGACTGAATACGCACCACACGCAGCCGAGCCTTGTAAGCTGAGCATCTTGTTCACCCTCCCACTTCGGCTGACAGCTTCCACCCAGGAAACCACATCTTAGAACATCAGAAGTGGGCCCTGTGTAGTCATCCCTGATGCTGGCATGTATATTCTCCCATCCTTCAGGCACAGTCTATATAATAAACCGGCAAAGAATATCATCTACTTCTAAGATGTTGTAGGCATGAAGATTTTAGAATTTTTGTCCAAGCATCATGTTTACTGAAATATACTCAACCTATTGAGGACTGTGGCAGTCTGCCCACATGTCAGGTTTCTGACAGATGTGATCAGTCTGGGAGCAGAGGACACAACCAGTGTCTGAATATGACTGAAATGTTGGGAAGACAGTGCAGAACTAAGACAGGCATTCTTGGAGCAGTTTCGATAGGCTGAAGATGCCAAAATACTCAGGGGCCGTAAGATTCCTGGAGAGAGAGAGAAGCATATATACTTAATATGACACTCCAAAATACACGTGCAGGGAATTCCCTGGCAGTCCAGTGGTTAGAACTTGGCGCTTTCCCAGCCGGGGCCTGGGTTTGATCCCTGGTCGGGAAATTAAGATCCTGCAAGCTGCGGGGCGTGGCCAAAACAAAAACAAAATTATGCATCCAGATATTTAAAACGAAGTAATGTACCTAAGTGACCAAGTATTATACGTAATTAATGGGTCCTGAGCATCAGAGTCACGTGGACCTTTTTATCCTTACTGAGGTATAGCTTACACATCACAAAATTACCCATTTATGTACAATTCAATGCTTTTTAGTAAATTTAGAGAGTTGTGCAACCATCATCACAGTCCAGTCTGATGTGTCCTAGCTCTACATTCAACAGTAGGGGACAGAAGACATGCAATGTTAATTCCCACCACCAGACCTTATACTGTGAATACACAGAACCCCTGCGCGTAGGGAACGGCAAGGCAAAAACACAACAGCTCCTCGGCTCCACAGAGAGACTGCAGGTGGCAGGAGGAGGATTCATAAAGAAAACAGAAGAGGTACTTGAGCTTCCCTCTAGAAAATGAACAGGCCATGAGAGGAGGCACAGAGTCCAGGCAGCATGAACAACGTACGCAAAGTCAGGAGCAGGGACTGGACCTGCCACAGAGGCTGAGCACTGTTTGCCTGACTATCGGAGATGCCTGGGGAGTAGTGGGTAACAAGGTGGGCAGCTCAGAAGGCAGATCATGGAAGGCCTAGATGTGTGGACTGAACGCAGTCCTCTTTATCAATCCTTCACACTATCACCAGATTCAGAGTCCATGGCTGCAAAGCAGAATCACTCACAGAGCTCTGACTCCACTTGTAAATTCTGAGTGAGGCTAGTGTGGGACTCAAGAATGTGCATATTGGGCTTCCCTGGTGGCACAGTGGTTGAGAGTCCGCCTGCTGATGCAGGGGAAAACGGGTTCATGCCCCGGTCTGGGAAGATCCCATATGCCGTGGAGCGGCTGGGCCTGTGAGCCAGGGCTGCTGAGCCTGTGCTCCAAAAGGGGAGAGGCAAAAAAAGTGAGAGGCCCGCTAAAAAAAAAAAAAAAAAAAAAAAAAAGAATGTGCATGTTAACAGAAACAGAGTCATAGATATAGAAAACAATCTATGGTTATTGGGGGGAAGGGGGGGAGGGATAAACTGGGAGATTGGGATTGACATATACACACTACTATATATAAATAATCAACAAGAGCCTACTGCATAGCACAGGGAGCTCTACTCAATATTCTGTAAAAACCTATATGGGAAAAGAATCTAAAACAGCGTGTATATATGTATATGTATAACTGATTCACTTTGCTGTACAGCAGAAAATAACACAACATTGTAAATCAACTATACTCCAATAAAAATTTTTAAAGTAATAATAAAAAAAGAATGTGCACGTTGATAAAACTCCACAGGATGATGGAAATGTCTGAAAAGAGGATTGTGGTGATAGTTGCACAACTCACTACATCAAACTGTACACACAGAGCCTCCCTGGTGGTGCAGTACTTGGGAATCTGCCTGCCAGTGCAGGGGACACGGGTTCGAACCCTGGTCTGGGAAGAGCCCACATGCCGCGGAGCAACTAAGCCTGTGCGCCACAACTACTGAGCCCACATGCCTAGAGCCCGTGCTCCGCAACAAGAGAAGCCACTGCAATGAGAAGCCCGGGCACTGCAAAGAAGAGTAGCCCCTGCTCCCTGCGACTAAGAAAGCCCGCGCACAGCAACGAAGACCCAACGCAGCCAAAAACAAAATAAATTAAAAAAAAACTGTATGTACAAAACAGGTAATTTCATGGTATGTAAATTATACCTCAATAGTTGGTTAAAAAAAAGCTCCACAGGACTTCCCTGGTGGCACAGCGGTTGAGAATTCGCCTGCCAATGCAGGCGACACGGGTTCGAGCCCTGGTCCGGGAAGATCCCACATGTTGTGGAGCAGCTAAGCCTGCGAGCCACAACTACTGAAGCCTGCGCACCTAGAGCCTGTGCTCCGCAACAAGAGAAACCACCACAATCAGAAGCCCGCGCACAGCAACGAAGAGCAGCCCCCACTCACCGCAACTAGAGAAAGCCCACACGCATCAACGCAGCCATAAATAAATAAATAAATACTAAATTTATTTATTTAAAAAAAAGCTCCACAGGTGAGTCTGATACTGAGTGAGGGCTTGGAACCACTTTCTTATTGTCCACTGCACTGATTTCACATGACAAAAGAAGTGAAATGCCAGTGTTTGAGGCAGACTGGGTTCATATTCTTGCTCTACTACTTACTAGCTGTGTGCCAATGGGCCAGTTAGTTAACCTTTCTGTGCCTCAGTTTCCTCAAATTTAAATGAGGTTAATTATGGGCTTTCCTGGTGGCACAGTGGTTAAGAATCCACCTGCCAAGGCAGGGAACATAAGTTCGAGCCCTTGTCCGGGAAGATCCCACATGCCGCGGAGCAACTAAGCCTGTGCACCACAACTACTGAGCCTGTGCTCTAGAGCCTGCAAGCCACAACTACTGAGCCCATGCACCACAACTACTGAAGCCTGCACGCCTAGAGCCCGCGCACCACAACAAAGAGTAGCTTCCGCTTGCCGCAACTAAAGAAAGCCTGCATGCAGCAATGAAGACCCAACGCAGCCAAAAATAACTAAATAAATAAATTTATTGAAAAAAATAAATGAGGTCAACCATGGGCAGGTAATGAGAATTAAATAAGATAAAATATGTAAAGTACTGGGAAGAATGCCTGGCATAGAGAAAACATTTAATAAATGCTAAAAGCAGACAACAGAAAAGAGCTGAGGAATGCTTAACAAAGATGGTATAATGTTAATAGGTGGCAGAAGGAAGATGGAATACTTAAACCCTTATTTTGCCTTTCTCTTCTCCATCAGAGATAACAATTTCCAGTCACCTGGTGACCTAGTGGGTAGGATTCTGGGCTTCCACTGACGTGGCCCAGGTTCAATCCCTTCAAATCTCCAAGTATAAATAATTTATATCTCAAAGAACTGAAACTATTTGCAGACATGATTACAAGCCAGGAGGTAAACTTTGAAAGATTAAGTGAATAGGAGGATTGTAGACAACAAAATGTCCCAATTTTCACAGACCACCAGAGCTTGATATATCTCAATTAAAAAACACAACAAAACTCTCAGAAGTTCTTGGAAACTGCCCCTGAAGGAGGTGAGCAGATGGGAGTCCAGAAATAACTGGGCAAACTACAGGCTTATCTGTAGGAAAAAAAAATGTTAGAATGGATAAATAGAAATGCACAGAAAAAAAATTTTTTTTCTCGTCAACCGGGAGTGAACTGTTACTTGAAAAGAACTTCATTTCACTTTTTGATGTAGTCACCAGCCTGAGAAATCATGAATATCTAGACAGTGCATCCTGACTTTAGGAAGTCATGTGAAAAGGTTTCTTATATTCTAAATAAATATAGAAATGTGGGCAGGACAATAAATTAGGTAAATTCCAAGCTGATTGGAAACTGTACTCAAATTAGTTGATTGCTGTTCTCCTGGTGGAAGTGTCTTCCTGGCTCCCTAATTGACTCTTATTTTTCCCCAATTTACATGAAGGTCCTGAAGCTGTACAAGGCATGTTTAGCAAATCTGCATAAAAAACAGGCTGGGAACCATGGCTTATCAACATATTTGTGAAAAGATAGACTGTCTAGACTCAAAGTGATCTCAGTAAAAGGAAAAACAGACCAAAATTAACAAAATGAAACCAGGGATAAACCAACTGAGGTTAGAAAAAAATGGTTCCTGGAACAACAGGAAGGGTGACTGTGGCTTGAGAGCAGTTTCTGGGAAAATGACTTGGGGGGCTGTAGCCACCATACCGTCTCCTGGACCAACACTGTGATTTAGCTTGTAAAAACCAAAGTCCGGCTTAGACTGTGTTAACCAAGGGCAGCTCACAAATCCAGGGCAGCGTTTAACTGCTCCTTCAGTCTTCTGCCCTCTTTGGGAATTTTAGTACAGACAGGCTTTCTCTTAAACACCCTCTTGTATGGAGAACACTGATGTTTTCATGAAGGAGGTGACACAAAACCAGTTTCGAAGGAGTAAGAGAGGAGGTAGTGGAAACAGGAGGCCAAAAATGGAATATGTGGTACGTAGTACGTTTGGGGAGCTCTGTTTGGGGAATTACAAATATATCCCTGTGGCAGGAATCAAAGGAACGTGGGGGTAGGGGGAGGTGAGTGTGACAGTGTCTAAACTAGTGGTCTTCAAGGTTTTTTTTTGATCCCATATTCTCTAAATGAATTTTGAAAAATTATGTACCCTTTCACAAAATTTCAGTATCTAAAATTTTAAATAGTTTAAAAAGGATATAATTTCCAGTATATTTCTAAAACTGACATTTAAAAATAAGCTGTCGCACCACTCTTTTAAATGTTTTCAATGGAATCTAAATACCATAGTGAGTTAATACCTGCCTACATCATCAATTGTTAAAAAACAAGGACAATAAATCCAAATTGATGAAAATAAGAACTTTTCATCAAAAGATACGTTAAACAAACTAAAAAGGCAAGCCAGAGTGGGAGAATATATTGGAAACACATTTAAATGAGAAAAGACACACATCCAACACACATAAAGAACTACTATAAATCAGTAAGACAATTCAATAGAAAAATGGGCAAAATATTTGAGTATTTCACAAAAGAAATTCAAATGGTTAACACACATGTAGAAAGGTATTCAGGCTCATTACTTATCAGGGAAATGCTACTCAAACCACAACGAGACACCACTAAATACTCACCAGATAGAAAAAATGTACAGGTCTAACAATACCAACTGTTGATGAGGATATGGCGCATACAGTGATGGGTGACTTTTTTTTTTTTTTTTTTTTTTTGCGGTACGCGGGCCTCTCACTGCCGTGGCCTCTCCCGTTGCGGAGCACAGGCTCCGGACGCGCAGGCTCAGCGGCCATGGCTCACGGGCCCAGCCGCTCCGCAGCATGTGGGATCTTCGCGGACCGGGGCACGAACCCGTGTCCCCTGCATCGGCAGGCGGACTCTCAACCACTGCGCCACCAGGGAAGCCCGTGCTGGGTGACTTTAAATAAGCACATCACTTTGGCAGCATCAGGCAATACAGAAGATATACATATTCCCTGATTCAGCAATTCCATAGCTAGTTTTATATGTATAAACACACACACACACCCCATAGAGAAACTCTGGCACTCATGCACCATGACACAAGGCCAATCAGCTTTGTACCTAACCGCCCCAAAGTGGGAACACCCAAATGCCCATCAATAGTAAAATGCAGAATTGTAGGGTAGTCCCATAAGAGACCATTCTATAGCAATGAGAAAGCATGACAGCTACTTGTAAAATGAATGAATTTCACAAAGAAAAAGAAGACACAAGAGTACATACTATGTGATTCCGTTCATGGAATGTAAAAAAACAGGCAAAACTAAACAATATATTGCTTAGAGATGCACATATAGCTCTTAAAACTATTACAGAAAAAAAGACAAGGTAATAATAAAAGTGAGGGCAGTGTTTATGTTTGGTGGAAACGGGCAATTTTGGTTGAAGAGGCACAGAGGTGAAGGCTCCTGGTTCTGTTCTGTCCTGGCCTCGGTGTTAGTTATACCCCATGTTTGCCAGAGAGTTATTTGTTAAGGTAGTCATGTATGCTATATACATTTTTCTTTATATATTTCACAACTGAAAAATACCCCACATAAACCAACTCTTCTGTAACAGTTGGAAACTTTACACTTTTTTCTTTCTAGTCTTGTTCCACAGAATTTTATCCTATTTTGTGTGAACGTAATTTACCGATCACCGTATCTTATTTGAACGATCTTTAACTTTTGCAAGAGTCCCTACAGTGAAGGCAACTCTTCACTTCCGTCCTCGCTCTCTGTCAAGAAGTCCTTAAGGCTGCCCTAGGGCCGCCACTGAGTGAAGCAAGCAGCCGCAATCCCGGCACGTTGTGTGCATTTCATACAGCCACGCTTACCATACGCCGGGTACTACACGCGGCGCTTTACGTGCTCGAGCTCATTTAGTCCTCAGGTGGATAGTGTTATCCCTATTTTAGAGCCGTAGAATCTGAAGTTCAGAGATATTAAATAACTTTTCAAGGTCAAAGCTCGTGAGTGGCGGATCCTCGCCTCGGTGGGACTTTTCTGTCTTTCTCGCCCCCCACCCGCGCCCTTCTGGTTTGTTTTCTAGGGAAGGCGGAACGGCTAGGAACCGGTAAGGAAGCCAAAACTGCGGGACACCCCGGTTCGCGAGGGTCCAAGAATCTCGGAGATCTCCGGTGCTGGCGGCCGAACACAGGCCGCCCCGGAGAAAATTCGGAACAAACCTCTGGCCTCATATAACGATCCCTCTCCTTTCTTTCTTTTTTTTTTTCCTGTTAACCTCCACGCTAAACGCCCACTCCATCCCGCGCCAGTCCCCCCTTCCGTGAAGGCGTGAATCGAGCCCCTCGCCGCCCACTGACCTGAGGCTGCTCTCACAGTACACGCAAAAGCGGAGGCCGCCATCTTGCCGCCTTGCCTTACGGCAGCCGAATTGGATCTAAAAACTTCAGAGCAAGAGGGCACTAAGGAAAAGTAACCTGGGCGGAGTCGGGGGAAGGGAGTTAAAAACATGAATAAAGGAACGTTGAAGTCTACCTTTATTGAATATCTTCTTTATGCCAGGCTGTCCTTCACCGCTGTAAAACAAGTGCCTATAGAATAGTGCCTGGCATATAGTAGGCTCTCAATAAATTCTTACTGAGCATTTGATTGAAAGATGTATTTAAGTACCAGCATATTTGAAACAATTTCTTTTTGCTCATTTCATTAAATTAGTTTGAAAGAATAAAATGTATCCTTCCAAAGCTGGGATATGTTGGGCTAAATTGACAGGAAATAGCAACATTATTAGAATTTTTTTAAAAAATTGAATGCCAACTCTAATCAAATAAATGTAAGTATCCCGAGGACATCAGATACACACACACATTTGTTTTCTCTCTCTCTAATCAATAAGACTGCTATTTGGTAGAACAGCACCTCAACTCTTCCTGAACAATCTACATACCTTATCTTATTCCTGAAAATTAGTGATCATACATTTTTAAACAATGTTCATTTAAACAGAAAATAAACAGCAAACCTCTCTCCCATCCTTGTAGTCTAAGATACTTGACGCATATACAGTATATGGCACTATTTACTGGTTGAAATGGGTAAGGGTCAAACACTGAGTCTCAAGGAGTTCACATTTAATAAGGAGACAACTACAGACCATAATAGGCAGATAAATGACTGATGGGGCAGTTCAAAGATAAGGAGGGAAGGCTTCTGGTTGGGGTGATCAGGGGACAAGGAGATAGAGTATAACACGGATCTTAAAGAATGGGGAGGATTTTTTAACGAGGGCAAGGTCACTGTTGGCAGTAAGAGCATCAAGAGCATCTCATCAAGGTGAGAAGAGAGGAAGCCAAGACAGAGAGACACAGGATATATTTAGAGCAGTGGTTTTCAAACTTTTTGGTCTTGGGACCTCTTTACATGCTTAAAAATTGTGGATCCCAAAGAGCTTGTAATTATATGGATTATATCTGTAAGAATGTATTATATTGGAAAGTAAAATTGAGAAAAAAATTAAATACGTATTGTACTAGTTTCCTATTGCTGCTATAACAAATTAACTCAAATTAGGTGGCTTAAAACAACACAAGTTCATTATCGTACAGTTCTGTAGGTCAGAAGTCCAAAATGGGTTTCACAAGGCTAAAATCAAGGTATCCAGGGCTGTGTTCCTTCTGGAGGCTCTAGAGGAGAGTTTGTTTCATTGTGTTTTCCAGCTTTTAGAGGCTTCTTGCCTCCTTCCATCTTCAAAGCCAAGAATCACATCACTCTGACTTCTGCTTCCATTGTCACACCTCCTTTTCTGATTCTGACCCTCCTGCTTCCCCCGTCACTCCTAAGGACCCTTGTGATTACGTTGGGTCCACACAGATAATTCAGAATAGTCTCCCCATCTCAAGATTCTTAATCACACCTGCAAAGTTCTTTTTTGTCATGTAAAGTAACATATTCACAGGTTCCAGGGATTAGGAGAATGTGGACCTACTGGGCAATAAGTATTCTGCCATTGCACTTATTAATTCATTTTAAAACAACAATTATAAGGACTTCTCTGGCAGTCCAGTGGTTAAGAATCTGTGCTTCCACTGCAGGGGCACAGGTTTGATCCCTGATAGGGGAACTAAGATCCCGCATGCTGGCGTGGTGCAGCAAAAAAACCCAAAAGACCTATTACATATTGACACAGATATTTTTATGAAAAATAACTATTTCAAAATTTTTAAAAAAATTAGCGAGAAGAGTGGCATTGTTTAACCTTTTTGCAAATCTCTGTAAGGTCTGGCTTAATAGAAAGCTGCATTCTGAAATTTGCTTATGCATTCAATTTGTTGTGGTATCACTTGTCATGTAGTCTCTGGGAAAACGCTACAATTATGTATGAGTAAAAACAGCAAATAATATCTTAATATTACAAAGGTTGTTTTGATTTTTTTTTTTTATGGTACGCGGGCCTCTCACTGTTGTGGCCTCTCCCGTTGCAGAGCACAGGCTCCGGACGCGCAGGCTCAGCGGCCATGGCTCACGGGCCCAGCCGCTCCGCGGCATGTGGGATCTTCCCGGACCGGGGCACGAACCCATGTCCCCTGCATCGGCAGGCGGACTCTCAACCACTGCGCCACCACGGAAGCCCTGTTTTGATTTTTTAAAATATATTTATTTATTTATTTGGCTGTGTCGGGTCTTAGTTGCAGCACGCGGTATGTTCTTTGTGGCAAGCAGGATCTTTTAGCTGCGGCCCGTGGGCTCTCTAGTTGTGGCGTGCGGGCTCTAGAGTGCACATGGGTTCAGTTGCCCCGTGTCATGTGGGATCTTAGTGCCCCAACCAGGGATCAAATTCACGTCCCTTGCATTGGAAGGAGGATTCTTAACCACTGGACCACCAGGGAAGTCCCATATTGTTTTGATTTTATGGACCCTCTGAAAGGGTCTCAGGCTCGCCAGGGACCAGGGCCTTCCGCGCGGACCAGGGCCTCCCATACCACACTTTGAGAACCACTGAGTTGGTTATATTTCAGTTTCTCCGAGTTTTTGGGTAGACAAGTGGGTGATGAGCTTGAACCGCTATTGTTGCTATCTTGAGCTCCCATCTATGGTGGCCACTTTGAGCCATAGAACATGCACACAGGCGGGAAAGGAACTCTGAGACATTTCTTAAGGGTCTTTGAATTGGCAGTGGGAGTCACTGCCATGTGGCATGTTTTTGAACAAGGGAGTGATTTAAACTTCTGAGTTACTTTAGGAGAGTCCATTTTAAAGCAAAAGAAAAAAAAAATCTTAAACCGCACGTGGAAGATGAGGATTAACGACTTGGTTAAACGAGAGGTCAGGAGACTACAGAAATTAATTTTGGAGTTTGAAATCTTGAAGCTGGAGAAGTTGCTAATGATGTTCAGGCTCAAGGAATACATGGCTGGAAGAGACGGAAAATGTTCACTGGCCTTGAAAGGTTTATGGCCAAGGTTTTTGAAAAGTCATCACCCAGCATGACAGCAGTGGGCAGGGATGAGATGGGGGGCAGGGGGACAGCAGTTCAATAATTAAAATTACTAAAAAAGATGGGAGACTGCTCTGGAGGCTATTAAGTGATGGCGATATGAAATACAGAGTGTAATGTAATTACAAAAGTACCCTGAAAAGCACTGAACCTATATAAACATAAGTCATTATTTCATTTTAGATAATTTTCAAACCTATTTCTCTACTTCACAAATGGGATTTAGTAGCATTGTGTACCTCTAGGGAGAACACCATACTACAATAGAGTACCTAGTTAAGACTTGAAAGTGAAATGCCAACGGTCGCGAGACCCCTCCACAAGACCACCAGAGTCGAGAGTCAAAGCCAAGCGG